CATCTAGAATCCCGTTTAACTTTTATCCTTTCCTCAGTCCCCCTATACACAGGTCTTTTCTCTCACCTTTACTCTCTGTAAGCCTATGTACCAGTGGCATTCATGCCTTGCTTGGGGTGAAATGATAAAAAAAAAAAATAAAAATAAAAAAAGGCAGCAGAAGCAAAACAGTCTCAGGTGAAGTTGACTGAAATGATGATGCAGAGTATAAACATACAATAGCCAATCAGCTAGAGAGTCCAATCTACTATTTAACCCATAGCTAGGAGGGGAAGAGATGGATTCATATCTTTCCCAACAATATTTATGCGAAAGTGGTTACAGTAAACTTGCAGTGATTTCAAACTTGGCTTGTCAGTTTCTTATCCCAACCAAATAATCATTCCACTACCTGCAGATAAATTGAATAGACAATCAAAAAAGCTAAGACTATCTCTTAGGCCTGAGAATAAATATTCATCAGTAAAAAAAAAAAAAAAAAAAAACTCCAATACATAAGCTATGTAGGAAAACGTTCAGCAGGTGAATCTCATTAAGTTAAAAGGAGGCTGACTTAGTGTAAATCAATAACCATTTTAGATATCTTTGTAATTGATATTATAATCCATATTAGCTTAATATCATTTACACTAATATATTACCAGCTATCAAAGATTGGCATTTGATTTGCCTAGTGTGTTACTAAGGAAAATTCAATAACTTCTCACTTCATCCCAGCTTTACATGATGCAGTAGGCATATCCCCCACCAAGACAATACTAGGTTTGACACAAAAACACAACTGATATAGATTTGGTTTAGTTTGTTTTACAGCAGATCAACCTCAATGGGTTATTTAATACATTATTTACATTATTCGGACTATTGTCCTCATCTTTGTTGCCATATTTATTACAACAATGAAAACATTAACTTTATAATATCCAGAAATTCATACACAGATGTCCTCAAGGACACATGGCACAGTGGATAAAGGCGTTGGTTAATCCAGTGACCCAAAGAGTATGAGTTCAATACACAGTGGAGAACTTTCAGATGGAAATTAACAGGAGATAACTGACATCCATTAAACATATGGAACTAGAACAGTCTACCCAGTAAGCAAAATAAAGGGTTCAGTTCGACATTCCAACCACCTGAAGAAGGCCGGAGCATATAATGGCTGAAACGTTGTAATAAAGATGAGGACAATTGTTCAAGTAATGTAAATAATACATCATCTCAGAAATACAGATGGGTTATTTAATGCCATAAAGATTTTTATTGCTGGTAATATTTTTTTTTTCCAAAAATGTATTGCTGGCAATAATTTTTTTTTTTACAAAATGTATTGCTGGTACTAAATCTTGTTTTTACACTTTCATAATGTTTTTACCGCAGCTTGAGGGTTAAGTATTTACCCATAACTGGGACCCTAACAGGTGCTACCACCCCAGGTCAGGGTAGACCGGGGAACACCAGTAATTAAAAGGTGGTTCCATACTCCTCAAAACCTCCTGATTAGAGGTTGTCAGATGTAGTGTATCGTTTTACCCAGGACGCGGATGTAGTTTATCATCATACCCAGGATGGCAATTGACAGAGACTTGCACATATACATGTAGGTAGTATCAAAAACTGTCCAGTTTCCTTGTCAATTCCCTTTTCTGGAGGACAGGCATTGACCTAAACCCACCTCCTTTAAAAGGAAAGCTTCATCCTGTGATGATGGCCTTCTTGGGATCCTAACCTTATATGAAGCCATTATTTGGACATTTTTTTAAAATGAAATTTTCTTCTTTTATTTTTTTTTTTATTTTTTAAATCAATTCACTCCAAGCAAGGTAATAATGCCACTCAGACGCAAGGGGCTACAGAGAATAAAAAGACTGTAGAAAGAACTGGAAACACAATCCTAAAGAAGAAACCAGGTACAAACATCTACTCCTGTTCAAAAAACCTGGGGAGGAGTGTGAACCACTCGATAGACAAACCTATCTAATGCTGTATCTGCCTATATTTCTGAGATGAGGTATTATGTACACTATTTACATTATTCGGACTATTGTCGTCATCTTTGTTGGCATATTTATTACAACGTTTCGGCCCTTCAGTATCTGTCTATATTTCTGAGATGAGGTATTATGTACACTATTTACATTATTCAGACTATTGTCCACATCTTTGTTGCCATATTTATTACAACGTTTCGGCCATTGTATGCTCCGGCCTTCTTCAGGTGGTTGGAATGTCGAACTGAACCCTTTATTTCACTCGCTGAGGTAGACTGTTCTAGTTCCACATGCCATGTCTAATGGATGTTAGTTATCAGTTAATTCCTCTCTCCAAGTCCTCCACCAGGTATTGAACTCACACTCTTTGGGTCCTGTCACTGGATCTAACTAACGTCCTTATCTATATAAAGACATTAGTTAATTAATTAATAATATAATTCACAAGGAATGTCATAAATTAATGGCTGACGAATAATTCAGATCTACTTATAGCAGGGAAGTTGAAAATAATATCAGATCAAGACCCAGAGAGCAATCCCCCAGGCAGTACTTCTTTGGGAGAGGGCTGGGGTCATTACTCAGCACCTGAAGTAGCCCCAAAAGGAGAAGTGCTGAGGGGCCTTAAGCAGTTTTTATACAGCTTTCTGGAAATTCCACATTAAACTCCGACTTTGTGTCATATTCTGTTGCAACATGGACGCACATAACTAATTTAAAGGAGTCATTTGAAAATACTTTTGAATAACTTCAAAAAAAGATTTTTTTGAAAAAAAGCTATTAGTTGGATTTTTTTTTTTTTTTACTCTTTCTGAAATGAGAAAATTTACAGGTCCAAATTTTGTAGAAAATACAACATTGATTTTTTTTGTTTGATATGCTTGCTTTTGCGGCAAAATCATGCAAGAAATTTTTGCCCCTGGCCATTATTTAAAGTGACAAGTTGAGGGTTTCTCTAGTTTTCGTTTTGGAGAAGGAAAACAATGACGCGTTTACAAAAACAAATCCAATATTACAAATTTTGTTATTACTTTTTTCAAGCAAAAAAGAATATACAATTTTAGTTTGTGAAGTCATGTTGTGAGCATTTTGGAGGGGGTTGTTGCTTCTTAGAGTGAAATATTTTATGTGGTGAGGTTCCAACGAAAGACTGACTGTTGGTTTACTTTCTTTAGACTGGGTTTGTGTCAGGCCTCATCTTTTAAAGTTTATTTTAGAATTAACGTTTAAATAAAACAAAACTAAAACAGTCAGGGTTATTATTTTCTCCCCAGACTTTGATTCATTCATTCTTAATCTCCGGTGAGGCCAAAAAACACAAAGTAAAGCAGAAAAATAAAATCAGATCACGAGGCAAATTTTAGTAATAAATAAAAATGTATTTTTCTTTTCAATTAAAAGAATAAATATTTTTATTTTTATTGTTAACTTTATTATTATTAAACATGCTTCTATTTTCTTTTTTAATACGTTTATAAGTTGTCGGGTGGATTTATCGTAATGTTTAAGTTAAACATTATACGATAAATCCACCCGACAACTTAAACAGTAAGTTTTAGGTTTTCTTACACATGTTAAGAAATTGATTACACGCTTTTTTTTTTTATGGCTTTTAAGTTTTAATTTTACCTGCTTTCTTTTACCGTGACATTTATTTATTGATTAACACACGTGTTTAGTGTGTTAACTTGTCTGACTCACTACTTAACTAATAAACTACACATTCAATCTGGTCTGGAGTAAAAAAACACACAACATAACACAAGGCGACGACCAAGGGATTTTTATTTAATTTAATGAATGACATTTTGTTTTTATTTTAAAAGATGAATTCCAAATAAAAATATGAAAGAAAGTGGGAAGAAAAAAAGCGAAAATTAACGTTAAAAACATATTTTTCTGTTTTTGAATCATTTAAAAAAAAAAAAAAAAAAGGTTATCGTCACTTTTAAAAAAAAAACGTAACAATAGTTTGGTGTTTTTTCTTTTTACCCCAATCTTGCATTAAAAATAAATAAATTATTTTAGAAATAAATAATCGATACTAAAGATGAAAATTTTGGACTAAAGGACGAAGTTAAAAAAAAAAAAAGATTTTTTTAAAGAATCGTCTGAAGTTTTTTTACAGAAAAATAATTAAAAAAATACAATTAGGAATTTATAAAATAAAAAAATCATCTACGTTTTTCCTTTTTTTTTTTTTTTTACAGAAAAATAAGTAAATATTTAATATTCCAATAAAATTAAAAAAAAAAGAAAAAAAAAAAGAGAATGTATTATGTATTAATGAAAATTTAAAAAAAAAAGAGATTTGATTTTTAATTATTTGCTAATATTAAATAAATAGTAGAATTAAGTGAAAATTAGTTTAATAGCCAAGATAATTTCAGCAATCGAAAATAATTTTTTTTATGAGACAAAAAGCTCTAAAATCTGGCGATATACGAACAAACATTTACTTCATTATTTTTCTACTTAATTCATAGAAAGCGATATCCACATAGAAACGAACAATTTTTTTAATTAATTTCTCTTTATCCGTCGTTGTCGTGTTTAGTTTTGTGTTATTTTTTTTCACTGTTTATATCCTGAACAATTTTATTTTCACTAGTTGACGAAAAAAAAAAAAAAAAGAAATGCAGACTTTATGAAGATCAATATTCTAATTATTATGCAAAGACTGACAAAATGGTTACTTCCTTTGGTTACCGGCAAGTAGCAGCAAATATATAAATTCATTTAAAAGTCCTTCTCAATGACACACACGTCGAAAGAGAGAAGAAACGCAAAGTGCGAGAAAGAAAGAAAGACACAGTAGAGGAAAAGAAAGAGAGAGAAACAGACAAAAATGAAACTAAAAAGAAAGAAAAATACGAAACAAGAAGAGAATAATAAATATATACAAACATAAGTGAAACTAAAACCGACACACGACCACTTTAAAAAAAAAAACTTTAAAAATGTTTTATTATTAATTAATTGAAAAAAAAAAAAAGAAAAGCTATCTACCTGAAATGTCTGGAATGACACAAGGCCGGCAGATGAGGATTGGTCGAAACATTATTAAATGCAATTCTTCGACTGAGGAATTGTCTTGTATGGAAACGTCCACCCCTGGAAGCATAAGATTTCCACAGATGACCCACGTTTCTCATCATTTTTAATGAAAAAAAAGGAAAAAACCACCGTAGGTCTCCTCCTCCTCGGCTCCTGGGGAGCAGACTTTACCCGTCACAGTTATCTGCGCTTGTTTGGCTATTGGAGGTGAGTGGGGGCGGTTTGTTTCAGTCTCTGTACATTACTTCCCCTTGTGCATGACCTCGGTCAGATTGCCCGGTGACCTTCTCGCCTAGCCGTTCACCTCCCCGACCGCTAAATAAGACCGAAGATGCGGGGAGAATTGGTTCAATTTTACCCTGCATTTCCAAAAATTGATAAAAGCAAAACTTTATGCTCTATCATGAAAAAATATTTTTAATAATATATACTATAGTAAAGCACAAAGCCAAATAAGAAAGAAGATTGTATTGCGTCAGCGTTCCATGTGATAACGACCTGTCCAATGCTTTGCAAATGAACATGTGAATTTTTATTTTTTATCCAGAATTGAACCCTGTCAGTGGATGGAAAAATGCAACTATTGCAACCTTCTTTCTTTTTTTTTTCTCTTTTTTTTTTTTTTTTTTATCGAGATAATACCCATGAATTAAAGCTTAAAGAGAAAAGTTGACTTATTGGGATTTCTTCAACTCTCAAAAATTTCACAAAATAATAATAATAATAATGATAATAATAATTGTCCTCACGAGTACAGCTCACATGTTATGAAGGGCTTTATCTATGTAAAATACCTGTGCGTGTGTGTGTATGTTTTTTTTTCAATTGCTCAGTGGAAAATGTCATGATGCCATTTCTGACCTGAGGTCTCTAGGAAGGCCCCCAAAAGAAATGAGTACACACCAGAAATCAAAGGAAATAATAATAATAATAATAATAATTACAATTTTATGGGACTACACAATACACACAGACAGAACAATCGAAGCTAACCGCCCAGACATCGTTATTAGAGACCGCACACAAAAAAGGTGCCCCCTTATTGATATAGCAGTCCCTGCAGACTGCAGTGTATCTTCAAAGATATTCAAAAAGCTATCAAAATATAAGGACCTTGAAATCGAAATCTCAAAAATGTGGCACATGGGAACATCAACAATTCCTGTTGTAGTTGGAGCCCTTGGATTGGTCGGAAAAGATTCCAGTAGACTAATTGAAGGGATTCCTGGAAGCCCATACCTTAAAAAAATACAAAAAATTGTTCTTACGAGTACAGCCCACACCGTACGAAGGGCTTTGTCTATGTAATATTTTTTTTTTTTTTTTTCTTTTGTCAGTGGAAAGTGTCATGATGCCATTTCTAACCTTAAGTCCCTGGGCGGGACCTGGAAAGAAATGTGTAAACGCCAGAAATCAATGAAAATTAAAATAATAATAATAATAGCAGAAAAAGAAATCTTCAAAATTACATGCACAATATCAGGTTTTATGATGTAAGTCAATATTTTCCCAATAAAATAGCTATTGACCAACCAAAAAGTAGGTAAAACTTTCTTATATAAGTATTATATCACATGAGTTTCAGCTTGTAACATCTATACTTACTTAAAATATTGATAACTTGTTTTGCAGGCTGTCTGGTTTTGTTAAGCAAAGTGCAAAATAAAATTTTATAAATAAATTCAAAAGATATAAGACAAAGAAACATATTTAATTAACATTACAGACCTGATTAATTATTGTTATTTAAATGTAAGTCTGACCTCTTTAACATTTCTATAACCTTGATCAGTCTTTCATTCATTGATTTTATTAGCATTTCGACTATTTTGAATTTGAGATTGCTTCTTACAGTTTTTATTGCTTTCCAGAGATCTTTGCTTGAATATTATTTTCCATTCTCACATATATTTCTTCTACAAATAGACAAGTTTTCTATAGGATTGGAGAAGCTGGGGGCCTATTTCATTAATTTTATATCTTTGAAGCCCACTTTTAAAAATTATAACAAAAGGCTCAAATAAAGTTTTCAAACAAGCATGGTTAAAAGAGATACATTTTGTGATTTTTTAATCAGTGGGGAAAGTAAGTTACAAACCCGAAAGTATCAAATTTCTAATTCAATTCAGAGCTGAGTTGTGGCTGTTTAAGAAGTCTGGCTTTTTCAGACAGGCAGAAAGGATTTGGCTTTCACAGATGAAAGTCATTGGTGGTTGCCTGGGGCTGAACTTAGATGATAAAGAAAGGAGGTCATTGGCATTCATGAAGAAGACAGGATCTGAAGAGAAGAAAAACTAAAAGTTGTCGACTACTATGAGAACAACGAAGAGGCTGAATGAAAAGTAGAGGGACATAACAAAAGTAAAAGAAATAAATGCGAAAAGGAAAAGATTGTATAAATTTAGAGTGATATACAATTATCTTTCTATATTTGTTTCGTTTATCTCATCTCAATTTGTAAAACTGAATTATTGTCTTAAAAACAGAAACCCAGTGACACCTGTGAATTATCAACTTTCTCAACTCCACTATTTATATTATTCAGACTATTGCCGACCAAGTATAGAAATGAATACAATATGGGAACCAGTAATAAGGAGTGCCAGAGAAAAGCGATAATAACAACAAAAATTGCAATATTAGCTCTGGTAAAAATATACAATGATAACAGAAAAAATTGCAATATGAGCACTGTTAAAAATGATGCTGAAGACATTAGGTTTATAATACCCAGAAATTCATACACAGAAGTCCTCCAGGACACATGGGACAGTGGATAAAGGCATTAGTTAGATCCAGTGACAGGACCCAAAGAGTGTGAGTTCAATACCCGGTTAAGGAGAACTTGGAGAGGGGAATTAACAGGAGATAAATGATAACTGACATTCATTAAAAAACATGGCACATGGAACTAGAACAGTCTACCCCAGTGAGCAAAATAAAGGGGAATTAACAGGAGATAACTGACAATTGACATCCATTAAAAAACAGTCTACCCCAGCGAGTGAAATAAAGGGTTCAGTTCAACATTCCATCCACCTGAAGAAGGCCGGAGTGTACAATGGCCAAAACGTTGTAATAAATATGGCGACAAAGATGGGGACAATAGTCCGAATAATGTACATAATACCTCATCTCAGAAATATAGACAGATACTTTCTCAACTCCTTTCAACTATTATATGAATCAAAGTGAGTGAACATTTTCTCTGATAATAATTATAACTGTTTTTATCAGCCCAACAAGAATTGTAATTAGACCTTGTGAAAGGCACAAAACTGAGTTCAAAATATTTAGATTTCAGCTTTAAATAACACATCGCAGTGTTGATATACTGCTAAACTAAAACAACCAAACCAAACTTGTTATCTTGCTTAATTGTTTGGTGCACAAAAGAAAACTTTGTACAAGCTAGTTTTGTAAATTTTGCATTCTGTGTGATTATTTTCAAGTCATTTAATAAATGTAAAGTTCTCTGACATTTCACACCAAATTATCTCTTCTCCTCCTTTCTTAAAAAAATCCTTTTATTAAAATAATAATTGTTACCTTTATGACATAAAAAAAAAACATTTTTTGAAAGCTTAGAATAATTTTCTACATTTATCTTGAGAAAATCATTCACTTTGAAAGTACCTATAATTTTACTGTCTTCAATAATAGCCCAAAATATTACTCCACCCTATCACTGTTGTCTTTTAAGTCAGGTTGTTTGAGAATTTCCATGAAGGATCCAAATGCTAGGCCAGACATCACATCCAATGTAGCTCTACATTCATCATCAAAAATTACTGTTCAGCAATCAGTTTTCATGTACTACTTTGTCCAACTTACACATTTTGCTTTGTGATGTTTACTTAAATGGTAATCTCTCAGAAAATGAACAATGTCAGAAGAATTTGGAATTGAAAGAAACTCATCAAATTAAATTTCTTTTCCATTAATTGTCACATTATCAAGTTCCATATTTACATTCCTAGGCATCTTCATGATCTTTTGTACACAAAATGAAAATACAGATATGTGGGTAGGGTGACGATTATCAGCACAAAGTGAACTTGGTGAGCAGAGTTCAAATTCCACACTAGACTGCTGCATTCACTTTTAAATGACAATGGAATAGGTATGAACTGCTTTCTTCTCCCCCATCTATGGGTTAAATAGCAGGGTAGATTGGACTTTATTTTTGGGTGGTAACTAGTGTAAGTGAAGGAAAATACAAACCAACAAGAAGATAACAGGCAACCACACAACTATTTTTCCAGATAATTCATGTCAACTCACAGATAAAAGAAAAGGAATCTGTGGAGAGTCATGATCACCTCTGTCCTGAATAGATACAGCAGTTAAAGAAAAAAAAATACTGATAATATACAGACACAATTGTGTAGTCTTATTCTTTAATGAAATCTTAACAATGGATTTCAAATGATTCTTATTTTTTAAAATATATTTTGTCAAATTTCTATTATCGTCAACACGTTCACTCTGCTGTTGGAAATCCTCATTTTCTGAGAAATTAACAATTTCACCTTGAATGCATTGATATTATTTGAGACACAATTTGTTCTTACAGTGTAGTTTCAATTTAAAATCATTGGTTGATAATATCAACTGACGATAATCAAACCTTTCTTACGTGTGGAATTCTCTTTTGGCTTCTTGCTTTCCAGCCAACTTTGATCTTCAAAAATTTAAATATAATGTCAATCGTTATCTTCTGTCTTTTACTGTGGAACTCTCTTCCAGCTTCTTGCTTTCCAATCAATGTTGATCTTCAAAAATATACATGCAATATCAATCTTTATTTTTTGTTTTCTTAATTTCTATTTTTTTTATTATTCTCTGACACTCAGTAACCCCTTGCATCTTAGTGGCTTTATTGCCTTGTATGGGGTGAAATGATTAGGAAAAAATAAACAGTTAAATGACCAGTTATTGTCAGGGAAAAACTGAAAAAAAAATTTTTCTTGAACAATTCAGTTTCACTTTGTGAAAATAGTTTGCAAGTTTCAGTAATCTACTCCGAAGTAGTCCTCCAGAAAAGTCAATGTATATCACAAGGACAACATTTCCATATTCCTCATCTAACATTTCA